AAACGTGTGGAGAAGTTAAATGATTATATCAGGTAATTCATGTACTACTTGAAATCCAAAAACAGTAAATAAAGTAATAAATCTGTTCTTTCAGGGATTTTTTTTGTTAACAGATTGGCGATGTATATCATCGGTTGAAATTTTGTTAGAATTGGTTGTGTTTTCAACCTGCAAATTAAAATAACCACGATGACAATGATTGTGTTGATATTTGGCATGTATATATGTATGTTATATGAAGACATAGGTCAAGTTCTATTTTTGCTGCTATCAGTTTTATTATTGTTTAAGTAATGCTCCATTTAATCCATATTTTCTGTGAAATTATTGGTTTCCTCAGGATAGCTTTTGATAGATACCTATAATTGTGTAATTCGGGACATAAGTATGTTCTATCAAAACACAGGTTAAGTTTAACTTAGCTGCACTCAACCTATTATTTAAAGAGTTGTGCCCCTTTTGAATTTGCTATCTTGCATACCTTAATTGTTAAAGTTGACATTAGATCATAACTTTGTCTTTCAATCTAGTGTCTTTAAATAACAAATGTCTTACAGTAGCCACAGTAACAGTTTGGAAATGTGATAAAATACAAACCATGAGCATAGTATGAAATGTTTTGTCATTACAGACAGAGTACTCAAGCTATAGAAGAACAAAGAGTAGCTGAAGAGGAACTAGGAGGGGAGGTTACAACTGCAAATGAAAGAATACAACAAATTGAAAATGAATTATGCTCAATTGGTGAGCAACTTAGTGAAGCAAAGGTATGTTTATGTTTTTTGTCATTAATTTTACTATGTACATAATTTTAGTATGTTTATGTTCTTGTCATTAATTTTAATATGTATTTAATCTGAGGTTTGTTTATTTTCTTATCTTGAATTGTTCTTTGAATAAATTTTAATCATAATGATTAATTCCCTTGAATCTATTTGAGTATGAATTTTATGAGTGCATGTTTTCATAAAAGAGAATTGTTGAATTATTGGTGCCTTAACCAGAAGTATATTTAAATTACTTTGGCATTTTCTGCTAGGAATCCTGAACTCATTTTTTGTGAGAAAGCTGCCTAGCTAACTGAATGGTTTGAAGTTGTACAAGAAACCTCTTTGTGTCTTAAATGATGCACAAAACTGCAGCCTGGGTATTCTAATTAGACCAGATTGCTGTGTGTCAATAACAGTATTAATATGTATTGAATACAAATGTATACAAATATCTTCTAGAACTAAGTCAAGATCAATTTTCTAATATCTTATTTTGTTTTAAATATACTATTATTTTCTCATAATGTATAGGTTGATAAACATGAGTCAGCTCGAGCTATGAAGAAAGCAGAATTATTGGACAACTTAAAGCGTTTATATCCTGGTGTGGTAAGTAATGTTAATGCATACGCTTTGTTATTATAACAAATTTGTGTTTAGTTTTTTTGCTTGACTCTTTGAAAAACATATTGTACCCACCCAGGGGTCAAGTGTTGGCATCACTGTCTCATTTTGGTTAAGTTTTTGCATGCAAGTTGGTATCTCCAAAACTACTGAAAGGAGTGAGTTAAAACTTCACATTCTAGTGACTGATTTAAGAGACATAATATGAGGTCACTGATCAAGGACCTTGATCAGTAACATGGATTTTGACATAATTATGGCCCTTTTTGAACATAGAAAATTCAATGTTATCCAGGCTCTTGTTTTAATTTCAAGCACTGAGAATAGTCCAGCACACTGTCCTTTGTTTGCTCTGATAGCTGTTGTATAGAGGCAGTTTAGTGTCCACAAATACTTGGACCACTTTAATGAATGTGTGTACCATGAGCCTGTAGTATCATGATGTATTATTATATATATTTAAAACTAGGTTTGTATTTATCTTACATACTGACCGAAACCTATTATAATTATTTGCAAATTGATAATAATGTTTTTGGGATTTGAAACATTGTCAAGTTAGCAAAGAATTGTTGCATTGTCAAAGTAGTATAATATTAGCGTTATACAAAATCAGCAGTTTGAAAATGATTATTTATGTATTGTCATAATTATCAGCAAAAAAAAATGATGTTTATATTTGACAGCATGGACGATTGATAGATCTGTGTCAACCAAGTCACAAGCGATACCAGATAGCTATCACCAAATGTCTTGGTAAATACATGGACGCCATCATCTGTGACACATTGAAAACAGCAAAGGAATGTATCCAGTATATGAAGGAACAGAGAATTGAACCTGAAACCTTTCTTCCCCTTGATTATCTAGATGTGAAACCTGTTAATGAAAAACTAAGGTAAGGTTATTTGTTCTGAAGAGCATCCGTTTAGCAGTGTCTCAGTCATAAATTGACAGGCATGTACCTCATATGTATTGAGTATCCTAACCTGCTAGCCACAACCGGTTCTACCCAGGTAACGAGTGCATACCAAGCATATTGAAATGTGACCTTGACCCCTATATGACATTAACCTTTAACCTTTTTAGTTCAAATGTTAAAGTTCAGGTAATATTACCATCACTAGTTTTTTATTCATTAACAGATTTGGGCATTTGACTTTCACATAATCATTTTGTTTCAATATTGTATTGTAGTAATTTTAGTTAATCTGGTTGCTAGTAATGTGATGTGTAACACTTTCAAAAATTTACACTATATTTGATAGTGTTATAGGCTATTTCAATATTTTTTAAAATGATAATTAATTCAAATACATTTTTTCCCACTTTTATAAAGCTTGAAAGTTGCTGTATGATATTGGTGATGTTAATGTGGCTTAATAACACACAAAAAAAGAATGTAAGATGACAATAGAGAATTTTATCATAAAATTTTGTATATGAAGCATTGACCTGCTGTGGTTAAAAATACATAAAGTTCCAATAACATTGATTTTATAATTTTTTTTAGGGAGATTCGTGAACCAAAGAATGTAAAATTGGTAGTTGATGTAATCAGATACGAGCCTCCATCTATTAAGAAAGCTTTAATCTTTGCCTGTGGAAATGCTCTAGTTTGCGAGACGGTAGAGGATGCTAGGAAAGTGGCGTTCGGAGGGCATGAGAGACATAAGGTATGTAATACAGGCTTGAGAATAAAAAAATGCACACATGTTAGTTAAATAATATTAATATCCATTAGGAAATACTGACATGAGGTAGCAATTATTTAATGCATATTAACACAATAGAGTTTTCCTCTTCTTAGGAAGTCTTGTGTTGGAAACTCTTAAATATAGGTTTCGTTGCTTGTCAATGAGTGGCGGCATGGCTGAGTGGTTAACTTGTTGGACAATTAATCTAAGGTTTGCTTACTTTGGGTTCAAACCCCTTTAGGGACAAGCAGTTGTTTCCTTGAGCAAGAAACTTTACACTCAATGTGCAGTACTGGTTGGTTCCAGGAACGGATTCGAAAGGGTGTCTATAGGCTTACAGCTTCCAACACAATTGAACTAAAATAAATTCTGTGTAAACCAATTGATTTTAATAAGAATTACTTAAAAATGATAATTTATGCTGGTTCCTTAATTGAAATAAAAAAAGCATAAATTATTGATAATAATGTTTAAAATAAAACATGTTTTCTATTTTGCAGTCAGTAGCATTAGATGGTACATTGTTCCAGAAGTCTGGTGTGATCTCAGGAGGTGCTAGGTATGTCTGGTTTAATATCTACTTAATATGTTCCTCTCTGTAAGGGTGAGTGAAAAAATATGGATGGCATAAACAGTTAGTCAGTGCAATCTGCGCAGATTTTGTTACACATTTTGATCCTGAAGTAGTTTGATACTGACAACAGACAAGGTGAATGTTCTGGCTGGATAGTTTATTGTTGTAAATGAAATCTCAAATACATGTAGTTACATAAGTTCCCATAGTGAAACGAATGTAGAATGCACATTACTGTGACATCTAGATTGATTTAGATTAACAGGAAAGTCTAAACAATAATTCCCCAAGCAACGCTCACTTCGGGTACTGAAGAAATAAATCCGAAGAAACGAAAAATAGCCGAGCCAGAACTCCCTAAACATATCGAGGAAACTAACGTATCCAGGTTTAAAGTTTTAAAGAAACTTAATATTCATAAGAAATTAATAGAGGCCCTTCATAATCGAAGAAAAGACGAACCTAAATCACATATCATTCTCCGACTTATGCTTTTTATGCTTAAGAAAACATGTTTTCAGTTCAACAGAAAATTTTATGACCAGATATCAGGAACAACTATGGGAACAAAATGCGCCCCTAGCTACGCAATAATATTCATGGCACATCTTGAGTCGAGATTTCTACGAACACAAGTATTAAAACTGAGATACATAGATGACATATTTATGATTTGGCCGCACAGCAGACAGGAATTGAATTCCTTCATGGCCTGTTTAAACCAATTTCATGAGTCAATTAAGTTTACTTATGATATCAATCCCAAGGAAGCTAATTTCTTAGACACTCAATGTAGTAAGGACAACACAGGTATTCTTCAAACTACAAATTTTGAGGAACCCTCCTCACCGTGTAGTACAGTAATGGTTTGCCAAGATGAGTATGGTATGTTTAGTGAAACAAACAAACTCATTATAAACATTGGACAGATTAATGGGTTATTAAACAAAGCATAATTAACTTGTGATCCTTTTTATTCAAACAATATACATGATATACTTAATGATAAGCTCGTTGGAACAGTGCCAAAACTATATCTATTATTAGCAACAATACTTCTATTTATAGTAACAAAACACAAAAAAGTATCCCTAAATAACAGTACTTCAGTAGTTAGATTTTGATATTTTTTAAGCCTGATGAAGAGTATTGTATTACTCGAAACTAGTAGCCAATAAAAACTTTTTAAAAATGACCTGGTGTTGTACGTGTGTTCCTCACCTACTTTATTCATTATTAAATAATTTGGAAGAATAAAATTTTAATTAATTACCATAAAATAGCCTGCTTGATCAATTAAAAAAAAACTATAATTATTATTACAAATGTCCGATTCAAATTATTGTTTTTTTTTAAGTGAGTTTAAACTTTGTTCTAAAATTTTAAATATAACTGAATACTTTTGCCTTTAGAGTTTTTAAGCTTTAACAACCACAAGGACTTTTAAGATCTTGGGTATTACACCAAAACAGTAGTTTGTTTGTTACCTTCGGTTCTAGCTTATTGATCACAAATTATGGTATAATGGTATGTAGTGTTTAGGTCAATCATTGCGTTAGAAATGTAGAAGCATGTTGAACTATTGAGATGCAAAAGATTGCACCTATTGGACAAGTGCATACCAAGATCAGTAACCACACCCATGTTATCTGATTATGCTTTCCCCTGTTTGCCATTCAACCAGTATATATTTTGAAATTTCCCCCTACACTGATACTTGGCTTTTTCTAGATTCATAGATAGACATGTCCATTTAATATATTTATTGCGATAGTGTTCGGCAGTTTATTTGTTGTATAATTTTAGTGATTTAAAGGCCAAAGCTAGACGTTGGGATGAAAAAATGCTGGGACAGTTGAAACAGAAGAAAGAAAAATTGACGACAGAATTAAAAGAAATGTCAAAAAAGAAGAGAAAAGAATCAGAATTAAATACCATTCGTTCACAGATTAAAGGTCTTGAGACGAGATTGAAATATTCCATTACAGACAGGGATAATACAGTATGTTATACTTAACTGTCAGCCTTGATAAATAAATTAAATCATTCTTAAGTGTCTTTTCTTAATCAACAATTATACAATAAGCAGAAAGAGAATAGAAAACAGCCTTCAAGACAGTCATATAATCAGAATTAAAACTGCTCTATAGTATTTCTGTAAACTTGGCATGTTGTCATTAGAATATGATGACATGAATATTTTAAGCATGGGTTTTTTTTTCCAGGATTTTGGGAACATGACCAATACCCATGGAATTGGGAATTTAAGCGATGTTTTGTTAAAAATTTGGGGGGGGGGGGCATGACTTAGATTTGGTAGTAATGAATTGAATGCAAAGAATCACTGTCTGGGATGACGTCTTTAAACATTTAAGCACCATATCAGTGAAGATGCCCGTATTTTCAAAGATTTTAGTATCGTTATTATTATGGGTTACACATGTGGGTTACACATGTATGCGAACTTTTATACAAATAGGGTTATGGTTATGTTTGGATAAGCCAAGATATGGGAGATTTTAATATGTTTATATTTTCTTTTAAACAACGTATTGCCGACTGTTTGGAGGCAAAATTGGTCTGACGACATCCATTCCTCTACTAGATGTGATACATACACTGCATTTAAATCTTTATTGAATGTTGAACAATATTTAACTATGGATTTGCCATTTCTTTTTAGGAAATCACTAGCACGTTTCAGATGTTCAAATTATAGGTTTAACATAGAAATTGGGCGACATTATGGTATTGAGAAATCAGATAGAATATGTCCATACTTTTTTATTAATAGCAACCGTTTAGTTATTGAACATAAATACCATGCCTTTTTCATTTGTCCGAAGTTTGATAGTATAAGACAACAATATCTGTTTAATTGGTATAAGGGAAGACTAGAACCAGTTAATTTCTCATACTTAATGAAAACCGAACATCATCCTACATTAAAAAGTTTAGCATTGTATGTAACCAAACTTATGACTAATATTGATAAGAATTGATTTGTTTCAAATAATTTTTTCTAGACAATTACATGAATGTCTATTGTATAATGTTTTATAACAAAAGTCTGACTTTCTTTTCTTTTTCTTTTTTTTCATGCATTAATAGGACTAGTTTTTGTATTTTTTTATTTTTTTTTTCATTTTGGAACTTGATACTACGTGTTTTACATTAAGGGTTGTGGTAATATGTATATTCTCTACCTTGTTGTACAATGTTAAAAATTATGGAACATGCTACTATTTTGTATTTCATATCTTGTGACACAATCAGATGTATATGTTTTTCCCTGTGGATTGTGAAAATAATATACTATTTTCAATTGGGAATATGAAGGAATATCAACTATAAAAAAGTCTGTGTTAAGTGGGGGGAAAAAGTTTGAATTTTATCTTTTTGTCTTAATAATTTTGTGTATATATGAAGTATTTTTGTATTATAGCAAAATAAACATCTAACACAGAATGAGAAAGATCTGAGAAATTATAAGGAACAAATCCATTCATTTGAGGTATGTACCAGTATTTGTTGATCTGACTGGGAAAATCTAAGAAAATTGCTTTATTTCATATCTACATAAACTACAGACAATGTCATTGTATAAAAATAATTTGGTAATTTTAGTCTTATATGGATAATGTGTATGTAATTTGTAGAGAATCATAAAAGAGGTCTATTATGACTGTTTCTTTATTAAAACCTGGGTAATGAATAAAGAGCAAAGTGAACTTGCACATTTTCATTTTGCAATCTGTTCAGATGTGACAGTGTTGTTTGCTAAATTGTAGTATTTTATTATTTGATTCCCTCAGAAAATTATAATCATTGAACAAAGATATTTGTAATAATTTTGATAAAAAATATGTCGAAAGTAGTATCTTTACCCTTGCCTGCAAGCAGAAATAGAAACCATCCATGCCACCAGTCTGATTATGTTTTACACTGCTTACTTCTGCCAGTACAGATTTTGAAATTTTCCTTAAAAATGATGAATATTTTTGTCCTTATTTAAAGATGAGCAGGTCCATTTCAGATAATAAGGTAATGGTTAAACATATCTTTGCTTATTATATTTGAATAAATGTATGAAATTTTGTACAGCCTAGAATGCATCAGTTAGAGAGATCTATGAATGAAAGGGAAGACACAATAAAGGCATTGAAGGATAGAATGAACAGGGTAGAAGATGAATTGTTTGAAGATTTCTGTGCCCAGATTGGTGTGGAAAATATCAGGTTAGTAACATACCACTTTATTATAATCAGCTGAAGGAGACTTGTTGTATATTAGCAGGTTTTTTTTTTTTAAATGTGATAATTCATAAATGGCCATCAAGTGTGCTGGTATCATTATCTATTTTGCTCCGTATTTTGAAACAAACAAACCAGCTTGGAATACAATTCTGAAGTAAATCTGCAACGAAAAATAATTATAGGTTAAATTATTGGTTGCTGTGTTTTGTTGTGTTGCAACGTTTTAAAAATTGTTTGATAAAGTTGTGTTGTTTTCCATCCTTGTAAAATAATGTGATTTGTTATGTCAAAAAAGAACAACAATAAAAATTTGTATAATTAGATGTTCTCTCGTTGGAGAGAAACTTAAAAAACAGTCAGTCTGACCAAACTCATTCATGAGACAAACCCGCTATTGAGACCAGATATGCAAAGTCCCTTCAGTGGTCTCATTAGGGAGTTTTTACTGTATATATATACCACAATATCTCAACAACATCTGCTATTGATTATCTTTAAAAAAATAATTAATACTATTAATTTTTTTTGAAAGCAGATTGTTTAATTTTTTTAGCTCACCAGAGCCAAAGGGCCAGAGTGAGCTATTAGTATCAAAGGTGGATGCTCCGTCGACCGTCGTCATGCGTCAACAATCGTCTTCTTCTCTGAAACTACTAAGCAGATTTACTTCAAATTTGGTCTGTAGCATCCTTGTGACAGTCACACTTGAATTTGCTCATGTCATTCCAATTGGCCCCTTTTAGAGGTCAGCAGAGCTAAAAATAGAAAAACCTTTAAACATCTTCTTCTACAGAACTAATTGATGGATGATCACCAAACTTTGTCTGTAGCATTCTTGGGTAGTCTTTTATCAAGTTTGCTCATATTAATTTGATTGGCCCCTTTTAGGGGTCACTAGGGCTAAAAATAGAAAAACCTTAAAACATCTTCTACAGAACTAATGAATGGATGATCACCAAACTTTATCTGTAGCATTCTTGGGTAGTCTTTTATCAAGTTTGCTAATATTATTTTGATTAGCCCCTTTTAGGGGTCTCTAAGGCTAAAAATATAAAAAAAAACATTGAACATCTTCTCCTACAGAACTAATTGATGGATGATCACCAAACTTTGTCGGTAGCATTCTTGGTTAGTGTTTTATCAAGTTTGCTCATATTAATTTGATTGGCCCCTTTTAGGGGTCGCTAGGGCTAAAAATAGAAAAACCTTTAAACATCTTCTACAGAACTAATGAATGGATGATCACCAAACTTTGTCTGTAGCATTCTTGGGTTGTCTTTTATCAAGTTTGCTAATATTATTTTGATTAGCCCCTTTAAGGGGTCTCTAAGGCTAAAAATAGAAAAAACGTTAAACATCTTCTCCTACAGAACTAATTGATGGATGATCAGCAAACTTTGTCGGTAGCATTCTTGGTTAGTGTTTTATCAAGTTTGCTCATATTAATTTGATTGGCCCCTTTTAGGGGTCTCTAAGGCAAAAAATAGAAAAAACGTTAAACATCTTCTACAGAACTAATGAATAGATGATCACCAAACTTTGTCTGTAGCATTCTTGGGTTGTCTTTTATCAAGTTTGCTAATATTATTTTGATTAGCCCCTTTTAGGGGTCTCTAAGGCTAAAAATAGAGAAAACATTAAACATCTTCTCCTACAGAACTAATTGATGGATGATCACCAAACTTTGTCTATAGCATTCTCAGTTAGTGTTTTATCAAGTTTGCTCATATTAATTTGATTGGCCCCTTTTAGGGGTCGCTAGGGCTAAAAATAGAAAAAAAAACTTTAAACATCTTCTACAGAATAATTGATGGATGATCACCAAACTTTGTCTGTAGCATTCTTGGGTAGTCTTCTATCAAGTTTACTCATATGAATTTGATTAGCCCCTTTTAGGGGCCGCTAAAGCTAAAAATAGAAATACCGTTAAATGACTTATTTCTAGAGAACTAATTGATGGATGATCACCAAACTTTGTCTGTAGCATTCTTGGGTAGTCTTTTATCAAGTTTGCTAATATTATTTTGATTGGCCCCTTTTAGGGGTCTCTAGGGCTAAAAATAGAAAAACCTTTAAACATCTTCTCCTACAGAACTAATTGATGGATGATCACCAAACTTTGTCAGTAGCATTCTTGGTTAGTGTTTTATCAAGTTTGCTCATATAAATTTGAATTGCCCATTTTAGGGGCCACTAAAGCTAAAAATATAAATACCGTTAAATGTCTATATCTAGAGAACTAATTGATGGATGATCACCAAACTTTGTCTTTAGCATTGTTGGGTAGTCTTTTATCAAGTTTGCTCATATTATTTTGATTGGCCCCTTTTAGGTGCCGCAAAAGCTAAAAATAGAAATACCTTTAAATGTCTATTTCTACAGAACTAATTGATAGATGATCACCAAACTTTGTCTGTAGCATTATTGGGTAGTCTTTTATCAAGTTTGCTCATGTTAATTTGATTGGTCCCTTTTAGGGGATGCTTAAGCTGAAAATAGAAAAACCTTTAAACATCTTCTACTACAGAACTAATTGATGGATGATCACCAAACTTTGTCTGTAGCATTCTTGAGTAGTCTTTTATCAAATTTACTCATGTTATTTTGATTGGCCTTATTTAGGGGCGCTAAAATTAAAAAAATATATATACATTTAAACGTCTATTGCTACAGACCTAATTGATGGATGATCACCAAAATTTGTCTGTAGCATTCTTGGGTAGTCTTTTATCAAGTCTGCTCATATTAATTTGATTGGCCCCTTTAAGGGGATGCTTATGCTGAAAATAGAAAAACCTTCAAACATCTTCTACTACAGAACTAATTGATGGATGATCACCAAACTTTGTCTGTAGCATTATTGGGTAGTCTTTTATCAAGTTTGCTCATATTAATTTAAGCCTTTAAAATTAAAAATAGAAATACGTTTAAACATCTTTTCCTACAGAACTAATCAATGGATGATCACCAAACTTTGTCTGTAGCATTTTTTGGTAGTCTTTTATCAACTTTGCTCACATAAAATTTGATTGGCCCCTTTTAGGGGCCGCTAAAGCTAAAAATAGAAAAACCCTTAAACATCTACTTCAGAACCAATTGATGCAGGGTTCGAATTTAGCAATATTTACTACTAGCTAAAATTAGCTTGTGCATTTTATGCTTACTAGCTAAAATTAAAAGTGGCTAGCTGAAATTGAGAACGCAAATTTATTAAAATGTGATGTAAAAATCATATCAAATTTTCGGGCCATATGGAGTTGTAGTTGGCCTCTTCTTTCTCTGACCATTGCATTGGATAAGGTGGTTGTTATAAATGACAACAGTCATAAGCTTTTGAAAAAAAAAACTGACTTCATTATGAGAGAATAATGCCATGGATCATGTAATGTTGAAATAGAATGTCTATGCTGGTGATAGCCTTCTTAAATAAATATGGTCTTACCCCTCTACTGCTCTAGCCTAGGCAGTTTCTACAACCTAACAAAAAAATGGCAATATCCCTCCCTAGCCTAGGCAGTTTTTATTGCACCCCGACCCGCTCCCAAGACCATATAAAAGATTGGACATAACATAATGGACAGAAAGGGGCAAGACCATATTTTCTTTCCATTCTGGTTAATAAATAGACAGAAAATCTAATTAAATATAAATTCCTTAGTCTAGATACTCTGTCTGCAGGTGCAAACATTTATATAAATTCCTTAGTCTAGATACTCTGTCTGCAGGTGCAAACATTTTACATGTTTTGCAGGCCATTTGAGTCACGGTTGATGAATCACCCATAACTATAATCAGGTGAACATTAAGTTCCTACAGTTTTTAAGCTTGCAGTTACTGCCTTCTCAGACGTTTCCTCGATATTTGATATGCAATAGAATCTCCATCAGATTTGTCTGCCGGCCGTTTCGTCATTAGAAAATTCGTTAAAGACTTTGAGACATTTTGATCTTGCTTATTTCACGTGATAAAGTCAAGACTGAAATACTGTTCGGAAAAGGCGTAAAATGAAACAAACAATCGAACAAGCATAACGGGAATCGGATTTTCCAGTACATGTCTATTTATAAAGACCAATCAGAGACTGTTACAAAATTATCTACGAATCGCAGTGGCGGGTACCGATTGACGTCATTTTTTCCACGCACATGCCCAAAGAATGGGCAACCCCCTAAAAATCGGATTTCCGCAATTGTATTTATAGCGAAAATGCGCAAGACTGTCTTTATTTTGCGGTGTTTTAAGTTTTGTTTCAAATTTTACACAAACATTTTATTGAAAAGAAGACTTTTATATATTTGGGTCTGTTTTTTATTCACTCGCTAATAAATGCGAGTGTCTTTTATTGTTACTCGCTATTCAGAATTTCTACAAGCTATTAGCGTGTTTGCGTGCCTAAATTCGAACCCTGTGATGGATAATCACCAACCTTTGTCTGTAGCATTCTTGGGTACTCTTTTATCAAGTTTGCTTATATTAATTTGATTAGCCCCTTTTAGGGGCCACTAAAGCTAAAAATAGAAAAAAACTTCAAACATCATTTCCTACTGAAATAATTGATAGATGATCACCAAACTTTGTAGCATTCTTAGGTAGTCTTTTATCAAGTTTGCTCATATTAATTTGATTAGCCCCATTTAAGTTAAAGCTTGAATGCCCCAGGTCATGGCATTTCTTTAAATTATTGTTTAAACATATTCTATGCTCAAATTTAATATTAGAATATATTGACATTCCAACACTGAAATGCAATTGTTTCTGGTGAGCGACTCAGGGCCATAATGGCCATCTTGTATTTTGTTTATTACAGTGTAATTTTGTCATCTGTCAAATTGCATTATACCTTTTAGATTTCTTATTCTATAATTTATAAATATAGTGTATTTTATAATTTACAGACAGTATGAAGAGAGAGAATTGTTAGTACAACAAGAAAGAGCCAAGAAACGTTTGGAATTTGAGAACCAAAAGTTCAAACTGCAGAACCAGATAGAATTTGAACGGTCCAGAGATACTCTCGGTATAAAATTTTGTTGAAATCTTAGCCTGTGAAATATATTCTGGTACTTTATGTTACAACTTATATGTGTATGTTAGAAAGACAATGTTATTCAGTTATATGTAGGTAATTGTAACTTTTATAGATTATATATAAATAAGGAGATACTTTGACTAGATTAAGGACATTGTCTAAACAGTAATGATGTTCTTATATAGAGGACAGTTGTTGTCAGGGTAACTGACCATAGCTTATCTTCCCCTCACTGCTATGGATGAGCATTTCTTTTCTCGTAAGATAACTATCCATTTAGATGACTGAAGATCTTTTGTCCCCTTCCTGTATAGTTTATGTGACTTTAATTATAAATTTTCTCTGTATGCAGCTAATGTTATGAAATGGGAGAAGGCTGTGACAGATGATGAAAAGGAATTGGAGAAAGTGAAAAATGACGAGGCAAGAAATATGGAGGTAAGTCAAAATTCAATGTACTGATACTTAATTGCATATTCTTTAAATATTTTACAACAAATTAGAATTTACTTTGAATGTTTATTGGCATTTAATGAGAAATTTTGATAGCATTTAATGGCCCTTTTATGAATGTGTCATTTTTCAGCATGCCTATGCTTATTGTATAGGTTTTCAATATCATAAGACTATTTATATTTTTCTTATCACACAGCCTCTTGATATGTGGTATCCAGCATTAACTCATGGTCCCATATTGTGGGAATCAATTTCAGGTCACTCATCCACTTCCTCTTTACTGACATAGTTAAATTTTCGACATAATGGTCAATAGTAGGAAATTTTCATATCAGTATTCTCAGCAACTACTTATATCACAGCCTCTTGATATGTGGTATCCAGCACTAACACACAGTCCCATACCGTGGGATTTGATTTCAGGTTTGTCACTCATCCACTTGACATGAATTTCAGTCACATTTATTTTTATGAAATATTTGATCTTTGATCCTTAGACAATAGATAGAGAGATGCAGAAAGCAGATAGATGTAAACAACAGAGACTGACTATAAAGTCACAGGTAGACGACTTCGAGGGACAGATTAATGAGATCAAGAAGCGACTGAATGCACAGAATAAAGAGATTGCTGCAGCACAGAAACAAGTTGCTGGCCATGAGACTTGGCTTGAACAGAAACGTGCTGATAGACATAGTCTGCTGAAAACTTGCAAGGTTTGTTGTGTTAAGATTGATTATTACCTTGTCTGTTTTGAAGCAAATATCCATCTGTTGCGATTACTGCAGCGTCGTTGTCATCATGCAAGATTTTAATTGCAAGCTATTACTCAATATGGAATTTGGAATGCTTGCTTATCATGAAAAGGCACATTAGTTTGACATGTGACATGATTCTGAAAGCAAAATTTTTGGAGTTATGCCTTTTTTAAACTTTAGAATTTTTAATAGACAAGCCTTAACACGACATGCAGTGCTTTTGTTATACAAAGGTATAAATATATGCATATCTAAAAAAATATAACAAACTGCAAAATATGTTAATTATCAAAGACTGAATTAACAATGAACCTTCTGAATTTTCTTAAATGGACTTATCTGGCTTCCACATTACCAGTTTAAGGGATATCAAGATAAAATTTTGAAAGTTAATCAGCTAACAATGTATAATCTGGCTAGGCTGTAAGGTAGGTGAAGGTTGGCCTAGCTCTTCTATACTGATAACAAAAGCTAGTCAGTTTCGATTTCAGCAGGGTAAGGGTTGAAAACTTGAGATTTAAAAATTATTGTCTTTGCAGTAACAGATTTAAAAATTATTGTCTTTGCAGTAACCTATGTTCACATAGTAACTTGATTAATTAGTGATCGAGTTTCTGTGATATTATGGTTTCTATATTAATGGTGTAAGTCTTTTAATGCTTTAGCTGACACTTGAGAATTGAAATAGAATTATTATAACTTACTAAATTAATTGTATAGATGGACAACATCAACCTGCCTATGAGAAAAGGCACGATGGATGACATTACACAGGAGAATGAGCCGTCCAGTGCCATGGATGGTACCCAGATGGATGGTACCCAATCAGAGACAGGGCTCGACAGTATGAGCAGTAAAGGTGCAAAGAAAATATACGAGAAAGAAGCTTTGATCATTATAGATTACTCTGGTTTAGATGATGATCTCAAAGAGGTAGGGTTGTTTGTAAAGTATAAGAAAATATGTTAAAGAATGAAATTCAAGAAACTTCATGATAAGACAATTTTAACACAAGCATAACTTTTTATCTTATTTTAGACAAGTGCCAATACATGTACCCATAGCCTTGATTGAATCTCATCAAAAACATAGCAAAATAATCATGTTTTGAAGTTCTGCATACATTTGTTTATATTCATGGTACCTTATGTGTCAAATTACTTTTACATTAGTAGTTTAATAATATTTTATTGCCGATAATTATATAAATATACATTAATTTTACATCAACATTTCTACAAAATATACAAAAGGGTTGGGTTTAAAGTTGTAACATTATTGTGGGCCCTTCCTTGCTACATTACTCATGTTACTGATTGAAAAAAATCACAATATGTCATTGTAAGGAAAAATGGAATATCATGTGACTAAAGTTGTTACAAAATTATTTTTTCTTCAGATTGATGACCCATCTGAAGTGAAAAAGAATATTGAACAAATGACTAAAGGGGTATCTGATATGGTGTCTACATTACAGAGAATTAATGCTCCAAATATGAAAGCTATGGAAAAGTAAGTTAAATATATGAAAATTGCAAAAAAAATCACTATTTTGCATTGTTTTTTTTCCCATCAAAACTGATTTCAAAGTGCTGCAACTTTTCAATGAATTGAGATAGAGTAAAAGGCTTCTCAGCGTTTGTTACTAGTTACGAAAAAGTAGTCACTTTTTTTAACAACATTTCTCAATCGAAAAAACAGTGTTTTGGGCCTAAACAGGGCATTTTTTCACTGTTTGAGGCCTCAAAAAAAAAGGGGGGGGGGGGGCAAAAAGCTGCCAAAACACGTCTCTATGAGGTAAAAGGTTAATTTGAATGGTTTAAATATTGAAAAGTGGAGATTTTGGTTGTCAAAGTACTGAAATTGATCGTGTCATTTGTAATGATGATTTACTTAAAAAGTATCTCAAGTTGGGTATCTCATCATTATATGATTCTTTCAATTTCTAATCTTGTGTTCTGATTTTTCTCCCTGTATAATGTATGCTTAAAGGAACTCCACTTGAGGTTTTTAGCTCACCTGACCACGAAGTGGTCATGGTGAGGTATAGTGATGGGGCTATGTCCGGCGTCCGGCGTCGTGCGTCGTTCGTCGTCAACAATTGGGTTGTTAACAGTCTAGCAGTCACAGTTTTGATTGGATCATCATCAAACTTTGTCAGAATGTTTGTCTCAATGAAATACAGATCGAGTTCGAAGATGGGTTATCTCGGGTCAAAAACTAGGTCACAGGAGCTAAAAATAGAAAAAGCTTGTTAACACTCTAGAGGCTGCAGTTTTCATCCAAATATTCTGGAAATTTGTCAGGAAGGTTGTTTTGATGATATCTAGGTCAAGTTCGAAGATGGGTCATCTCCGGTCAAAAACTAGGTCACAGGAGCTAAAAATAGAAAAAGCTTGTTAACACTCTAACAATTGGGTTGTTAACAGTCTAGCAGTCACAGTTTTGATTGGATCATCATCAAACTTTGTCAGGTATCTAGGTCAAGTTCGAAGATGGGTCATCTCGGGTCAAAAACTAGGTCACAGATTCTAAAAATAGAAAAAAATTGTTAACACTCTAGTGGCTGCAGTTTTCATCCAAATATTCTGGAAATTTGTCAGGAAGGTTGTTTTGATGATATCTAGGTCAAGTTCGAAGATGGATATTCTCAGGTCAAAAACTAGGTCACAGGAGCTAAAAATAGAAAAGCTTGTTAACACTCTGGTGGCTGCAGTTTTCATCCAAATATTCTGGAAATTTGTCAGGAAAGTTGTTTTTGATGATTTCTAGGTCAAGTTCGAAGATGGGTTATGTCCGGTCAAAAAACTAGGTCACAGGAGCTAAAAGTAGAAAAAAGCTTGTTAACACTCTAGTGGCTGCAGTTTTCATCCAAATATTCTGGAAATTTGTCAGGAAGGTTGTTTAGATGATATCTAAGTTAAGTTCGAAGATTGGTCATCTCCGGTCAAAAAACTGGGTCACAGGAGCTAAAAATAGAAAAAGCTTGTTAACACTCTAGTGGCTGCAGTTTTCATCCAAATATTCTGGAAATTTTTCAGGAAGGTTGTTTTGATGATATCTAGGTCAAGTTCGAAGATGGGTCATGTCCGGTCAAAAACTAGGTCACAGGAGCTAAAAATAGAAAAAGCTTGTTAACACTCTAGTGGCTGCAGTTTTCATCCAAACATTCTGGAAATTGGTCAGGAAGGTTGTTTTGATGATTTCTAGGTCAAGTTCGAAGATGGGTCATCTCAGGTCAAAAAACTAGGTCACAGGAGCTAAAATAGAAAAAGCTTGTAAACACTCTAGTGGCTGCAGTTTTCATCTAAATATTCTGGAAATTTGTCAAGAAGGTTGTTTTGACGATTTTCTAGGTCAAGTTCAAAGATGGGTTATCTCCGGTCAAAAACTAGGTCACAGGAGCTAAAAATAGAAAAAGCTTGTAAACACTCTAGTGGCTGCAGTATTGATTCAAATATTCTGGAAATTTTTCAGGAAGGTTGTTTTGATGATTTCTGGGTCAAGTTCGAAAATGGGTCATCTCAGGTCAAAAACTAGGTCAAAGGAGCTTGGAATAGAAAAAGCTTGTTTACACTCTAGTGGCTGCAGTTTTGATTCAAATATTCTGGAAATTTGTCAGGAAGGTTGTTTTGAGGATTTCTGGGTCAAGTGCTAAGATTGGTCATGTCCGGTCAAAAAACTAGGTCACAGGAGCTAAAAATAGAAAAATCTTTTTAAACACTCTAGAGGCTGCAGTTTTTGATTCAAATATTTCTGGAAATTTGTCAGGAAGGTTGTTTTGAGGATTTCTGGGTCAAGTGCTAAGATTGGTCATGTCCGGTCAAAAACTAGGTCACAGGAGCTAAAAATAGAAAAAAATCTTTTTAACACTCTAGAGGCTGCAGTTTTGATCCAAATTTCCTGGAAATTGGTCAGGAAGGTTTGTTTTGATGATTTCTAGGTCGAGTTTGAATATGGGCCGTGTCCAGTCAAAAATTAGGTCACATTGCCCAAATATGGAAAAATCTTTATAACACGCTAGAGGTCACATGTTTGACTCAGTTGTCATCAAACTTGGCCATGATGCTTGTTTAAGACATTGCTTGGATGCGGTTGTGTCAGGTGAGCGATCCAGGGCCATCATGGCCCTCTTGTTTAACATGACAGGACTGGAAATTATTTTTCGAGATTATTACTCAATTTGATGGAGGTCTATACCAACATTTTATATGCAAAATTTCAGATCATTACCTCCCTTCGTTTTCAAGAACAATTATTCTATTAGTGAAAAATGACCCAAATTGAAAAGCGTTGCAACGCTTGTCACTCATATTGAACTTAGAATAGCACAAACATATGATTTTTAATGTAATTCTGAGTATATTTCTTAGTTATTTTTATATATATGTTACTGTTTTAAAGGCCACAGTTGATCTATGTGGGAAATTAAAATTTTATCTTTTTAGTCTTATAAACCTTGTCTGGAATGATAAAATCTATAAAGTTTACTGTTTAGACTAAATTAATTTGCTTGGTTAAAGTAAAGCTGTCATAAAAGTATCTGGTGTAATTAATGAAGTAATACTTGACTGTTGGATGTGGACAAACCCTTGATCTATGGGTTAGTTGACAAAGATATTAATCATCTGCATATCATTTCCACAGGAAATCTTTTATTGGAGTAAGTTTAAGGGTTAATACAATATTTAGGAATAAATTAAGAGTAAGAAATATCAAGGTATTACAAATCTTTATACCATAAGAAATACACAATATCTTATATTTAATTCAGGTTGGGAGGGGTGAAAAAAGGGAAAGGGTTAAAAGGGGAAATTTTCAGAAAAAATTTTGGGAAAAATGCCGGGAAAAGGGGGGCCAAAAAAGGGCAAAACCAGGCCCTTTTGGGAAAAAAGTTGGGGAAAAGAAAGAAAATTGAAAAGTTTTTGATTTTTTTTGAATAAGGGTATCAACAAAAATTGAGGGAAATATACAAGGTAAAGTAAACGTCACTGAAATTTGATTGGACATTGAAATTATAGATTTAAATAGAGAAATTATAGGGCCATTTGACTTCACAATATTTGTTTAAGATTTTTTAGATACATTTAGAAGTCCAAAAAAATTTAAAATAAAATTTCCACAAAATTTTTAACTTTTTTTATTTTCATTTTTAAGTCCTTGGAAAGAAACCAGAGGGGCCCCGGGCCCTTTTCCTAGGAAAAGGGGGAAAAAAAAAAACCCCAAAACCGAAACCGGGGATGGTGTAAACTAAAAAACTGTGAAACACCGGGGAAAAAGATTCGACCCCATGGAAAAATTTTTCGGGTTCCTGGGAGGAGAGAAAACTGTAGCGGTTTTACCCTCAAATTTTTTTCCCATTCAAAAGGAATTTGAATACTTTTTTTGTTTTCATTTTGTAGGGGTTCGTTTCAACCTTAAAGTAAAAAATATACAAAATTTAAGGGGCTTGGGCCCTTAAAACAATTTTTGCACCTGGGAAAAAGGGGGGCTAAAACCCCCCTTTAGTTTTAAATTAAAAAAATTTTTTAATGATTTAGTAGAGTTTTGAGAGGTTTTTTTTTCTTCTTTGAGGAATTTTCCCGTCAACTTATTAAAGGTTTTTGTTCTTTTCCAAGTGTAGTGTTTTGCCTATTTGTAAAAAAAATATATCTCACCATGCATACAGGTTAGATTTTTTAGATTGTAAAAATTGCAGTTGTTTAAATTATTCAAAAATTAAATTCTTGATTGTCCCTGAAAAAAATTATATTTGAAATTGTTTAATTAAGAGTAAAAAATTAATATTGATCTAACATTATCTTTTTTTATTAGCCTTTTGCTTTTTCCCTTGGCTTTCTCTGTATATGTTTAACACGAAAGTTTTTTACAAGGGGTATATAATATTTTACTTTCAGTTATGCAACCAGCACCATTCTTTGTATTGGATGAAGATAGATGCAGCTTCTTGATAAATACAAAATATTGGAAGGTATGTTTTACAATGGGTTGACTTTAAAGGGATAACAATTTGTATATGGGCCAGGAAAGGTATCGGCTGTTTACCACATTCCTTCATTGCTCTGGACGGTTGAAAAGCCTTCTGTAATATGAAGAAATAATTAATATGGAGAGAGATTTTTCAAAAAAGCTTCCTAACGTCCAAATCCCAGTAAAATTTTATTTTATGTACTTTATTAAATGTAAATGTATGGATTATAAATAAAATATTGTTTTTTAAACGAAATAATTGAAAATAAAACAACAATGATTCCATCCATTTGAAATGACACTAGTTTATAGAGTAATTGGATAAGGTGGCAAAAATAAAGTAAAAATTGGTATTGCACGGCCATGCATATATTTAGACTTCATTAGTGTTATTATAAACCCATAGCATTAAGACATGCTAAATGTACGGCGATATACTACAGGCGGGTCAATGAAAATGTTTACGGGTCTTTATCTTTGGTATGTGCTAAATAGAATATTAAATTTGTGTAAGTTCATTACTAAAATTTATTGAACTAGTTGAAT